CCTGCTGAAGCCCTGCAAGGTAGTCTTCAAAAATCTTCTGAAACTTGTCAAAGCCTCCTCCACTTTCCGTTCAGGTAACTACTTCCACACCTCCTAAAATTAAAAGTAGTTTAAGATCACAGTAATATTTGGTTACCTGCATTTTTAGAAGAGATGGACAACCATTTTATCAGATCTTGTAGCTATTACCTGTATTTATCCTAATCAGAGGAAAGACACTGTTCTGATGGCAATTCCAAGCTATCACCAGCAAACCAAGCTTTGTGCCAAGTCTGTGGCTCTCATTTGCAACACGTAAACCAGTAAGCCACCAGTTTATACATATATATGTTACATAAAAATAATACTTATCTAGTGAACTACGTCATGCAAAAGGAATTTATACTTTAAGTTATTTAGAATCAGGTACTCTTATGCCTGGCATTTTGGCAGTCCATCTAAGTGAATATGCTACAAAATGGAGCAGAACTAAAGCCAGGTGGCTGTCCTCTGCGACTGAAGAAACCACAGACACAGATTCCAAAGCTCCTTCCATGAAAAAGGAGGGAATCTCTGCTCTTCCAGCACTCTAATCTGCAAGCAAATGCCAGGAGCTGAGAGAACTGTCTGCATTAGCATAAGCCAAGTAAAATATTGTTTGGGTTAAGAGTACTTTTAAATTAGTAAATCAGGTTGGAAGCTTCAGGAAACTATTAAGTAACTTCTGTTAGCCTCTGTATTGTAACCCAGGCTGGGAGTCTGTACAGAGATGTTGCCCGTGTGTCAAAAGGCTTCCTTGGTGTCCTGGTTGGAGCTCGGGCCTCCTGCCCAGCAGCCCCCGCCTCCCAGGATGGGCGGTATTTGAGAAGAGGCTTTTTCCACAGTCTTGTTTCACACTTTCTTGGGACCAGCTTTGTTCGTAGCCCCTGGGATGGCTGGTTCTGGCCAGAACACGCACGATGCCACACACACCGGCAGTTGGCAGCTGCCCTGCCCCATCACACCTCAGTCTGACTCCGGATCCCCTCAGGTTGGTTTCACCCCCCCCC